GAGGGGGGGGGGGGGGGGGGGGGGGGGTTGGCTCGGCCGCGACAGGGGCGATGAGAGCTTTTCAGCTGTCTGTGATGGATCGGCAACACTGCCGCTGCCGCTGCTGCTGCCGCTGCTGCTGCTGCTGTTCTTCGTCTTTCTTTCCTCACCTGAGCATAGCTCTGCTGCTGCTGCTGCTGCTGCTGCTGCTGCTGCTGCTGCTGGCGAGAAGGCTGGAACGGGTTGTTGAGATACCCCAGCCCTCCATCCGTCGACATTGGGTGTTCGAAGGATGCCCGACGGTGGTGTTCTTGCCGCTGCTGGCGATGCTCCGATCTGCCGTCACCACCAAAAAAAGCGGACACCCGGGGCGGGAGAGGAGGGAGACGAAGGGGATTGCTGAGATCGTTCTTCCAGGGTAACCACCAAACGCCAAGGCTATGTCCATCGATTACAAAAACAAAACGAAAGAACCCGATTTGGGGTGTTATCTCGAACGCTTATGTAGTCTTTCTGTCATTTACGTACGGTTTCCAGTAATCAACACAGCCACGACGCCAATAATCAAAAGATCATTCTTGGCTGTTGGTCTCTCTCTCTCTCTCACCCTTCCAGCCCGTCGCCGCCGTTGCCGTTAGTCCTCGCCATGCCACCGCTGCCGCCCAAGCCAGCCGGCGGGCTCGACGACCGCGGTGACGGCACACCCCTCCCCCCCCCTCCTCCTCCTCCTCCTCCTACAAAAGAGCCGTCAAGGGGACCCCCACCCTGCTGCTGAGCCGAAGCCGCGGGGCCCCCTCCTCTCCCACCCCCACCGCCGCTGCTGCCGAGCGGGGCCCTCCACGAAACAGAGCCGAACAGGCTGTGCTCCGGCGTGAACCTCTCCCCCCCACCGCCACCGTCGTCGTTCTGATCCGAGGACGGGGCCTGCTGCGGCGATAGCGCCAGGTCCTGGGCGTGGAACGCACCCGACCAGATGCCACCCCCGAGCAACCCGCTCCCGCTCCGCGAGGACCCGAACTGGGGGGACCCTGCAGACCCGAGGTCCGATCCCGTGCCACCCACACCCCCGCCCCCGTCATCTCCCCGCAAACTCCTGGAGCTCCCTTCCCGACCTCCCCGGCCGACAACAACCACGGGACCCCCGCCGCCGCCCGTGCTCTTCCGCCTCGACACGTTGCCGCTGCCGCTGTGCCCCCCGCCGAAGCTCGGCGTGAACACCCCGACGTCTTCGGTCTCGTCGCCGGACCCGGGGTCGCCGCTGCGGAAGCTGCTCCGCGGGTCCAGGTCCCCGGCCCCCGACGACGCCACGGCCCAGCCGCCGCCCCCACTCCCGGCGCTGCTGCCGACGGCGGCCGCGCCGCCGCTGCGCCCGCCGGGGGCGCTCCACGCCACCGAACGAGTGCGTGTCGTGCCCGCTGCCGAAGGCGCTGCCGACGCCGCTCGAACCGGACCCGGACCCCTGGTTGGCCCCGATCGAAGACTTACCGCCGCCGCCGCCGCCGGGGACGGAAGAGGCGTGGTGGACGGCGTTGAACGCCTCCGGCGCGGCGGCGGCGGCGGCCGCCATGGGTGCCTGCCTGTTGTCGTAGTACCGCATCCCGCTGTCCAGGGAGTGGCGGCTACCCGTCGCGCTGGCCGTGTCCGAGTGGCGGCCGCTGCTGTTGTACGCCCCGCGGGTAGAGGAGCCGGGGGTGCCCCCCGGCGGCGCGACCGCCGAGGTCACGCCCACGGCCTGAGAGTGGATGCGGTGAAGAGGCGGCTGGAAAAACTGCCCCCCCCCGGAGGAGTCGTGGTCGCCACCGCCGCCGCCCACGGATGGCATCATCGGCTGCGAGTGCTGCCGGGCGTGCGACATCTGGGATGGGTAGTGCTGCTGCTGTTGCTGCTGGACCGGTACGCGGAACACGCCCACGCTGGCGTTGCGGCCGTGTTGTCGTGCTCCTGGGGGGGGTGGGGGTGGGGGTGGGGGTGGGAGAAGAGGAAGAGTGAGCGTTGTTGGAACGAAAGAGGAAAAGTGTGGCTGGCTTGCTCTTGACAGAGAAATTGCAATCCTACATGAAAGCCGTTTCACTTCATGGAGCTGAGTACGTGCGCAAGAACATACCGCAGCCAGTCCCTCTTCCAAAACACACGCAGCGCCGACATGCCTAGCCTAAACCCGCGCGCGTAGCTCACAGACACGGGGGCCACCCTTCCGAGTCTTCCTCGCACACCTCGTATTTCCAAGAGGTCACAAATCGTCTCTCCCTCCCGCACACAAACACAGCAGGAGTCACCCTCGCGTTCCAAGGCCACAAATCCTCTCTCCCCTCCGTACACCACAAACACAGCAGGAGCCAGCCTCGTATTTCAAGGACAAAAAACCGTCTCTCCCCTCCCCGCGCTCACACCGGAGCCCGTCTCCCGACCGACCCGGCAGCTCACCTCCCGGCCCGCCGCCTTTGGAAGCGCGCCACCCATCCCCGTCGCTCCCGGCCCCGATGCTGCTCCCGCTGCCGAAGTACCCGCCTGGCCCGGGCCCAGAGAAGGACCGAGACACCCTCTCCCCGCCGGGCCCAATCACCTCGCCGCTGCCCATGCCGGGGGGCGCCCGGCCGCTGTGCTGCGACGACGGCCCCGACGGCCTCAGGGCGATCTCGAACGGCCGCCCGGCGGCGGCGCCGTCCTGCACGTAGTGGTAGCTCCCGCTGCTGGTGCTGGCCTCGCTGTACTCCGAGCGGTTCTCCCGGTGCGAACCGGCCGTCGCGGTCACCATCATGCCGTCCCCGTCCGGGTACTGGACGAGGTCGGCGGGGGCCGGGGTGAAGGGGTCGCCGCTGACGGCGGTGCAGAAGGCCTTGAGGCCCCGGATGCGGACGGAGCCCGCGCAGTCGTCCGGGACGGCGGGGACGGCCGGGCCGTCCATGGCGTACCGCTTCTTGTACAGGTCCGCCAGGGGAAGGAACCTGGGGGTGGAGAATGATGCGCGTAGAGGGGAGGGATGAACGATAATGGTGGCGAGGGAGTGCACACAATAGCCAAGAGGGAGAAGGAGAAGGAGAAGGAGGACGAGGAGGAGGAGCGCACGGGTACTAAAAACGGAATCGACACGCTGACGATGATGATCCCGCACACAAACAAAAGAGAGCACGGTAACCGCAACACAACCACCGCCCGACGCACCCTCTGAGCTCCACGTGCTCCTTCAAGGGCCGCCGCCTTCCCAGCGGATCTCCCGGGAAAGCGTCCGCCTGGTTCATCGGGTCCTGGTCGGGCAGAGTCGACGACAATCTCTGCACCACCTCCCAGTACTGGGCTCGCATCTCCGCCTGGACAACAAGGACAAAATCGCAAGGGTCACCAAATACACCCCAAGTTAGCAGCGGCGACAAGCACGTCGCTCATGTGAAAAAATAACAGGCATTGTGAATGGACCGCGAGACACAGCAGCCAACTCTGTGGTTTTACAATCAATCGTCAGGGGACGCGCGGTGCACGGGTGGGGGGGGGGTACTCATGTTTCGCATGCCTCAATTGTTAGACCATTCACTCCGCGGGTGTGGGGTCCAATCGCCCGCCGAACCCAACTGTCAAAACCAAGAGCTCGGAATACAAACACACCACCGGCTGCTGCTTGACCTCAACAACCGTCACACAAAGACAACGGACAACCACCAACACCAGAAACGTCCCCGCCTTTGAGCCAACAGCACCACAAAACGAACGGGCTTCACCTCCTGGACGGCTACGCTGGCCACCCCTCGCCGAGCCCCGCCGCCGCCTCTGCCCCCGCCGCCCCCGCCCCCGCCCCCGGCAGCCCCGCAGAAGACAGAGTGCTCCTACTCGGAGATTTAAAGGATCCTAGAACTCGCCGCTTGTCATGC